AAGAAAAAGAGAAAAACCAACAAACAAAAAACAGAGATCCTAGAACCAACCTACAAATGCAAGAACAAACAAACAAAAATGTATCTAATAATTATGCAAAAAAGAAAAAACCAAACAAAAATATAAATGTTATGAATTTTTATTTCTTCAACAACAAACAAAATGAAAATAATGGTAAAAAAGTCCAAACCCTAAAATTATAATTCATAAAAGAACATCAAAAAAAATCAAACATCAAAAAAAAAATCATGTTTTCGCTCAAACACACGAAAAATTATTTATAAATTTCTCACAGACACACACCCATTACTCGCTTCTGTTGTGTATTTTTATATATTTTTTTTATTTGTTTTGATTTTACATTTCGCCGCGTAATTTAATAACGCTCTCTTTATTTGTTTATGAACAAAAAAAATCTCCAAAAAAAAACTTTCTTTCAACTTGGGCTCGTCCGGGATTTGAACCCGGGACCTCTCACACCCGAAGCGAGAATCATACCCCTAGACCAACGAGCCACGCATATATAAGGCGCTAATTGGTATTAAGTGTAAGGCGGCATGGCAGTGGTGAAATAACGTTTAGAAAAATACTGGTAAATGGTGGCGACGGATAAAACAATGTCAATTTGGTGTGTTTGTTTTTTGAGGGATGATAAAATGTCGTAAAAGTGTTGCCTACCTTAAGGCGAAGTAAAAACCACACATGCTTTGTTAAACGCAAAATTATTAGGTACTGCTTGTAAAATTGTAATAAGAGCATATTATGGCACGTTCTTATATCTTTTCTTTATAGTCCACTCTTGTTATCCCTAACTTTTGGAAAAGTGAAGCATATCAAAAAATAGCAATGTATACACAACTTCATTTTTGGAAAAACGCAACGTTGTAGTATTGTGTCAAATTTAATTTCAAACCAAACAACAATTGGTTTTGGTCATTTTATGACAAAATCGAAAATAAGAGGGACAATTTTGGAATTTGTTTCGCAAAAACCATGGTTGAAATAACAAGTAAAGAACTATTCCGAACATTGAATACCCTCCATTCGGAATGAATTTGGCAATTTTCAAAAAAATAAAATCCGTTAAAAATTCTGTTAAAATCTTAAAAATACCAAATTTTATACGACGACGTGGACCTGCATAGGTCATAAGCCATTGCAATATTCAAAGGCGAAACTTAAAAAAAGGTGAATAATATACCTAAAATCATCAAATTACCGAATATAGGGAGGTATATTATATGGGGGCTATACCAAAACGTGGACCTGCACAGATAATTTTCTGTCTTAGGCTGTAGTATCCATTACGAACTTCAAATACAAAATTTGTAATAATTCCGGCGAATAATATCGCTAAAGTAATCAAAATACCGAATATCGGGGGGTACCGTAATATGGGGGCTATTTGAAGACGTAGACCTACATGGCTCATTTTCTGTCTTATCCTGTAGTATCTATTACGAACTTCAAATACCAAATTTGAAAAAATTCCGGCGAATAATGTAGCTAAAATCAACAAAATACCACATATCGGGAGGTACCGTTCGGATCAACATCGAATTTTATGCTGATCAATAATACATATACTTTGTGGGGTCTAAAATCTATATTTCGAGGTGAAGGGTATAAAAAGGTTCCATTCCAAATAAGTATATCCTTGTCAAATTTAACTTCATTGAAAAAAGGTCACCATCTCTGTTTTTTTCAACGCTTTTTCTTCTACAACCATTTCTTCCTTTGCAGAATTAGTAGATTCTTTTAAGTTCTTGAATAGAGCAATTAATGGCAAACAACGTTTTTCAAATGACATTAAGAACATAGTATAAATAAGCTATTGCACTGTCACAAATGCTATTAAGCGCTTAAAGTCGACCACTGCATCGAAAACAATAATCGACTTACACATCCCCTAATTTACAAAAAAGTGCCGTTATTTGAAAGGAGAAAAGAATCGAAGGAAAAATAAATTCGAGATTTAGAAATAAATTCTTTTTTTAATACATTCATTTCAGCTACAAATAAAATGCGGAAATCTCGTAAAATTAACAAATCTGTAAATTCCCGCATGGATTATGCTCGGGAAAATAATCAATTTGCAGCATTTTCCCCAAAGGATGAGAACAACAATGAGATACAGGTCTATGGTCCACCGGCAAGAGAACTACGCAGTGCCAACTCACAACCTGCAATTATGGCTGAACTGGAAGAAAGACCAACAGCTTCAGATGGATGCATTTGCAATAGAAAATCACAAATTATCGAATGTAAAAAATGTCGAATGCTTTGCTACGGACGAGTATCGGAAACATGTCCTCGGCATCCCAATGTATGTACATTGTTTGTTTATTATTGAATATTATACGTATTTAAAAAGTTTTCCTATTTTTTAGGTTTCGTATTTGATGGACTTGTATTATTGCCCATCTTGCTATTGTTCTCGTGTATTTTTAACAGCAAAAAAATAATTTAATTTCAAATCCTTACGATTTTTGGATTTCATGACGTAGAACGTCTCACTTTTCCTCATTAATATTTGAATATCATATTCTAGTGTGTCATTTGACATCTATATTAAAATATAGATCGCATAATATTTTTCATATATAGTAATATTTAAAAATTCATAGTACTTCTATTGTTGGTATTTAGAAACATTTAATGAATTTCTCAGTTATTCAGATCTGAATAAAATATAATTGTTATAAGAATCACTGTTTTATTGTACCACTAAATTGAAAAATTGGAAAATTACTTGAAATTTGTTGCTTTGGAATTTTGTTTCTATGTTAAATTGTTTCAATTGTAATACTATTAAATGAGACAATTTTTCCAGAAATTTATCAGATATGTGATTGAAATCGATTACAGAATCGAAATACGTTTTGTGTTCCTTGCATATTTGTTGAAAAATTACTTTTAAGGATTTATATTTCCAAAACTTAATGACATGTTTCATTAAAGGATAAGTCAATTTTGACACATATGGCCTGTTCCAGAACTGTATGTTCTTACGATGATAGCCGATTTTCCCTCTATAATATCGGAGAGAATTGCAAAAACTAGTAGATTCTTTCAGGTTCTGGAACAGACCAATAATAAACCGATGTATGCCAAAATGAGTCGACGCTTCTTTAAAATTCGGATACACACAAAATGTGTTATTTGACAACTTAGAAAAAATAAGCACCCTCAGGAACTTAACATAAGCTGACTTTGGACCGTAACTTTTTATGATATTCGAAACAAACTTTAGTGGGAACCACATTATAGACTGGATTTAAATCTTGTATCTCTCCTAATCTCAAAATGGGAAACAGAGTTCCTGCTGTAGACTATGTGAAAATTCTGAAATTTGAAGAGATTTGGATGAGAGTTTTTGGAAATTCGTTTAAAGTTATGACAAGTTGTAAAATGATACAAAACTTCAAAAATGGTACCATTTAGTGCAATGTGAACGTATAAAGCTAAAACTTGAAATTTGATATGAGAGTCAAGTAAGTTTGATACATGAAGGTGTTTTTTTTTTGAAAATGTGTACTAAGTGTGCGAACTGTACTAAATGGTACTGCATTTTGAAAAGTTTGGTTTAGGGTGAACGAATGAAGCTGGAATTTTGACATTTTGTGTAGAGACGGTTTTGGAAATGTGTTCTATAACTGTACTTAATTTGGTAATGGGGGAAATTACACAGCTGAAATTTGATATTGAAGTCACTTTTGGTATCTGAGGTTTAGATATGGAGGTTGCTTTGAAAATGCGTACTTTAACTGTACGAAAAGAACTAAATGCTACTAAACTTAGGTATTGAAAATTGGTGTCTGTAGTTGAGAGAAGGATGTGGTTTTGAAAATGCGTACTATGAACGTACGACAAGTGCAAAAGGTTACAAAATGTGATGGGCGATATGGTGGTGATGGGATAGAGATTGTATTCTGAAATTTGGTATCTAGATCACCATTGGTATGTAGAGTTGAGAGAATGAGGTGGTTTTGAACTTGCGTAGTATAACTGTACGATAAGTATGGAAACAAAATTTGAGATTGGGATAGGTCTGGAATTCTAAAATTTGATATGGAGGCCACTGTTGGTATATAGTTTTTATACCCTACACCATATAGTGGTTAGGGCATTATGTATTTGTGTATTTGTTTGTAACATGGAGAAGGAAGCGACATAGACCCATAGTGTATTTTAAAGATCTTCATAGAATTACTTTCTGAGTCGATTTATACATGTCAGTCCGTCCGTCCATCTGAACAAAATGCAGGCCGCATTTATTATCCGATTAAGATGAAATTTTGTAAACAATATTTGTTTGGCCCAAGGACGAACCCTACTGAAATTGGAGATAATCGGATCCGATTTAGATGTTGCTCCCATATATCTTCAACCGATTTTTTACTTTTCCTTATTGTTTTTTTTTGTTTATCATACAATGTTCTTTTTAAATTGTTTACCACACAATCATCGGAAACTATATCAATCATGGCCCTATATAGGGCAGTTTTAAATTAAAAACTTAAATGTCTTCTCAATCTTCTCCACGTCGTAACGCTTTACATTGCCATTTGGTCTGCCATCAATCAATCATGTCGCCTCTTGATTACATATTCTAATAAAATGTTGGTCAAGTTGTGATGAAGTCAATGTAAATTAGTTTTTCCAAACTCTGGGTGCACAAGAACTTGAACAGAAAGTAAAGGTCTACAAGATTTACGAGAATACCTTTGAATGGAGTTTTTAATTACACCTTTCAGCCACAGACAATAGCTGGGCGCTGAAGGTCTATTAAATTATAAATTGGGATAAGTGAAAGTCTGTTATTGTGTGTTTCAGTCTTCAATTCAAATGCCATTAAAATGAAAACGAAATATTTGGAGGAAAAAAAGAAGAATGGGATGCTGTATCGCGTGTGGATGTGAATGTGAATAAAAGACACAAGAGCAAGTCATTAAAATAAATAAAATAGTATCATTTCATTCCAGGGAGTTCTAACTACTTTAAAGCTACTCCCGAATGACAGAATGAAAAAGAAGAAGAAGAGGTAGAAGTTACGCACACTCTCGGAGATGAAGATGACAAAAAAGAATATCGAGACGAGGCATTGTAGAGCGGGAATATTGCTTCATATTAGCTGGAAAAGTTGTATAAAATGGAATGCAATGTCGGTTGCAATAAACAGTCAAGCGATTACAATGAAGACAAGAACGACAACAACCAGTTTATGGCTAGTATGTGGATTGATGCTGGGTATGTATATGAAAGCCTCTTTAAGGAAAAAGAAAATTTATTTTTTTATCATTTCAGTGTTGGGTCTATTGGCCCAAGATATCCAGGGAGCAGCTGTAAAGTCCCAGCAAGCAAAACCCAAAAATTCCACCACATCACATAAAGATGGCCATTCATCCACCTCGAAGACAAAACACTCTAGTGGATCTAAGACAAAAGCCGCTTCCACTACCACTACAACCACAAGCACCACCACCACTACGACCACCGTAAAACCCCAACAGCAGGATCCGACAACAAACAAACCTGCCACGACCATGGATATCGATGGACGTCATTCCTATATTAACAATGAATTCGTTGCAGATCCTGAGCCCATACAAGATGTCAGTCAGCCGCTGTATGAAATTTTACAAAAACAAATGGAAAAAGTCCTCTCGAATAATGGCTTTACCAATGGCCTGTACTCCGATAGTCCTCAAAGCAAGGAAATCCAAGACGATAATCAAAATATGCCAGGCAAGCCCATGTTTTCCTATAACGTAAGTCATTTCAATGACTACGAAGAGGATGTGGAAAATGAAAATGAAGAAGATATAGTGGATCCGGAAGAGCAACAACCTGAGAATTGTGAAGACACGGATGAAAGTCTTAATGATAGAGATGATACAGTGGTACAATATCCAAACACACAGAATTCCTATAAACCTTCATCATCTAGCAATAAGCCTCATAAACCATCATATGATCCATCAAATTATCCCTCCACATCATCGTTGCCATCATCATCCTCTGGATATCCACAAACCAACAAACCATCATCTTCAAGTAATTATCCAAGGCCACCACAGCCGTCATATGGCCAAAATTCCAATCAACAGCAACAAATACACAAGCCAGAAAAACCTTTGAAACCATCCCAGCACAAACCGAAACCTCCAAAGGCGCCAAGTTCATCGTCTAAGCCCAAACCTACTCCGCTTGCCGAAGAATCTCCCACACCATTTTCCACTTCATCCAGTCATACCAAGCCCAAACGTCATCTAAGCTTCCGCACCGTATCATCATCGACGCAATATGTTTCCACACCATTGGCTGATCTAATGTTGAAATTTTCCATTGGCATGGCCAAACCAGCTAAGAGCCTCGGAGACTCAAATCAGGATAATCAGATTTATGATAAAAATGATATTGATATGAGAGGTTATTAAGGAAAAAAGGACGAGAAGGGAAAATTGAAAAGTAAAATAAATGTGACTTACTATTGTGAATATGCAAATGTTATATTTTGTTGGATTTATTTTAAGGTCAAGGTTTTTATGCCTTCCCCCTTGAAAAGGAGGGTATGATAACTATGTCTTTCCGTTTGTAACATCCCTAAATATTCGTCGTAGACCCCATAAAGTATATATATTCATGATCATCATAAAATTCTAAGTATTGTATTGGTCTAGGACTGTATGTATTGAAAATGAGATATATCGGTCCACGTTTTGATATAGCCGCCATATAACGGTATCCCCGATATTCGGTATTTTGATGATTTTCGCTACATTTTTTCACGGAGTTGTTTAAAAATGGCATTTGTAGGTCATAATGGGTTCTAGCTGCGGTGGGGAAACATTGTATGTTTAGGTTCACGTCCAGGTTTTTGTATAGTCCCCATAAACGGTCCTTCTGATATTCGGTATTTTGATAATTGTTAACACATTTTCCCCACGGATTTATCTTCCTATAGCGCACATATAACGATACCCATAGATATTCGATATTTTGATAATCCTAGTCACATTTACCCACGAAATTGTTTTAAATTTGTAATTTAAAAAGATTTAATATATGTATATCCTTGAATTATAAAGCTGTCTATAGAGGTTCCCGTTTTGGTATGGCCCCATATGACGATCTCACCTACTTTATGGTGTTTTGATAAGTTTAACTGCATTATCCAAACGGTCTTACTGGTATTTGAAGTTTAAAGTGAAACACGTTTGAATTCAGATATTTTTATAAAAATGTTTCCTTTACCCAAAGGTGGAGGATATTAAAAGATCGGAGCTTAATGTTTTTTTACTTGTTTCTCTAAAGGCCTAGTTATCAAATTTTCTAATTATATCCCCAAGTTATCGATTTTTTAATGTAAAGCTTGCCCAGAATTACGTTTTCTTATATTTTTTAAACGGCTTCCTGTCAAAGATCGTGTTTTTAATACTTTTTCAAGAAAAAACATAAATAAAATGGATTTTTAATTAATTTCGTGAAATACATTTTCAATATAAAATACACAGTGAGGTAAATAAACTGCAACAAAGTCAAACGCCATAAGTTTTACCCTTTTTTAATTTTATTGAATGAAAGCAAAAAATGTCTTAAATAGAATCAAATATTAGAATAAGTTTAGATTTGTTCTAATTGGTCGCCTTTGGCACGAATTATTGCCTACAAATGGCCAATGAAACGGTTGCCCGAATGTTGCTCTGCGGTATTTTGGTCCATTCCCGGCGAAGCGCTTGCTTGAGGTGATCGACACTTTGGTATTTTTTAGTGCCAACCTTGCTTTCCAAAATACTCCAGACACAATAGTCCAACGGATTGGTATCCGGAGATTTTGGTGGCCGTTGTGCACTGGAAATGAAGCAAGGAACCTCATTTTGTAACATTCTTGGGTGGCACGTGCTGAGTGCGATGGTGTTGAGCCCGGTTGGAAAGTCAAAGGTCTGCGGCCAATATGTTTGCGTGCCCATAATATTCGGCATTTATTCTGATGCCACGGTCGATTAATACGAGCGGAGACAGACCATCGGCTGTTATGGCGGCCCAAACCATCACCATGGCCGGCGCTTTTGTCTGGCCAACCGAAGGTGCACATTTTCAGCTGATCTCTTTGGTAAGTAAACACGTAAACAAACTGCTGGACAACGAATGTTTTCTCAAATTCGACAGTTCACCACTTTCGGCCAAGCGGGAAACTCTTTAGCTCTTTAGTCTATTTTCTGTCTATTGCGGTGTTAGTTCTTGTACTTTTTGGAATTTCAATGGCTTTACCCCGATCTCATTTTTCAATATTTGCCGAATGAAGTATTGCGATATGTTCAACTCACGAGTCATTCTTCGGCTACTGCGACGCGGATAGAGAAAATTACCTATGCAGGTCCAGGTCTTAGTATAACACCCATATAACCGTACCTTCCTTTTGTTATTTTTATTAAAATCATAAAAATATTTTACCCGAAATTACTGCGGAACTCAATGCTTACTTGTTTCTTTTTTGGTTTTTTTTAATATAAAATTTTTATATTTTCTTAATGGCGGACCATTGTTTTACACTCTCCACCCTAGGTATGGTATGGTCATTCCGTTTGTAACTTATTGTAATAATAATTTTAGACATAACAAAGTATATATATTCTTGATCAGTGAAAAATTCTAAGGTGATTTACCCCTGTCCGTCTGTTGCAATTACGCAAGAGTCAAAACGAATAAAGATAGGAAGCTAAACTTTTGCACAGATGGGCTATATCGGTCCACGATATCGTATAGCCCCATACAACGGTATCCCCCGAAATTCATTATTTTGATGATTTTAGCCACATTTTCAATGAAATTGACTAAAAATAAACGCAAGGATTCCCTTTTGAGAACTTTACTCCCTGGAAGAGAAATGTCTATATTGTTTAGTACCCATATAACTGTACCTCTCGATATTGGGTATTTTGATGATTTTAGCCACATTTATCAATGAGATTGTCTTAAATTCTAAACAAGGAGTTCTTCGTGACTACCTTACCATCTGGAAGAGAATTGTCTATATAGGTCTACGATATCGTATAGCCCCCACACAGAAAATCCACAAAAGGACTTCGTTCTGAGTACTTTACACCCTGGAAGAATATTGTCTATATAGGTCAACATTATTGTATATCCCCATATAACGGTATCTTCCTATATTCGGTATTTGGATGAATTTAGCTATTTTCCAATGGAATTATTTAAAAATCCACACTAGAAATTCTTTCTAAGCACTTAACACCCTGGAAGAGAGATATCTATATGGTTTCACGATATCGTATAGCCCACATACAACAACGGTATGTATTTGAATAATTGTCGTTCAGCTGATTCAAAAGGATATAAAATAAATCCGGTCGTGATAAGATATTTTTGTGTATGGTAAATCTGCTTGAATAAATCCAGATTAAGGATATATGAACGCGTTAAAAAATCCATCTAATTTAAGGCAATTTAAAGATTATGTGCTTAATTTATGAACAAAATATTCTTTTAATAAATATTAATTATTTTACTTTATTCATATCACATTCACCATCTCTAGAAAATTATAAGATCATAACAATGGAATCCTTTTTAGGTTTAGGTATTTCCTCATAACGATCCTTGGATTCCTTTTGCTTTTCCTGGGCTTGTTCCTGATGGATTTCTTTAATGAGAACTTTTTGTTCGGTTACATTGTCCTGGACCAAAGGAGTAATTGTTGTTACTTCCTGTTGTTTTTCTTCATCCAAATCGACCAAAGGTTTGCTCTCCATCATTTCTTTCTCCTTGAAATAGGGATTGGCACGGAATTTCAATTCAGCATATTTCACTTCTTCGGGATATTGAGTTTTACATTCTTCATACGAAAAATCAGACCAGTAACCATGGCTTCTACATTTGGCCACGTTCAGTTTACATTTGTTGTAAAACACAGCAACTTCGGAGGATGTTTTACCACAAATTGGTTCATAGGGACCAGTGCAATCATCGTCACAAAGGAAGCCTTCAGCCATGGAGTTGGAATTCGAATTAATGGCCATGCTATTGAGTTTCACGCAATCGGCATTGGCACAGGGAAACCAGGCAATGGGCACAGCCAAAAATGGAGGACTCATTTTGGTGGCATTTGCTCGACCAGCCAACGGAAGGAAGGTACGTTTGACATAATAGCCATGTTCCTCGGTGGCAACCATGGAGTTTTGTGTCTGGGCTCCCAAATCCGTGGAGGAAGACCATTTCGTTTTGGTCTTGGTTTTGGTGGGGAATGAATCGGAGTGGCTCTTGCGTTTCTTGTGTTTGCCTGCTTCGACAAAGGAACTCACCAGGAGTAGGGAAACTAAAAGGAAAGTAAATAATTAGAAATTTATTTGGTTTACATATGGAATATTCATCCCGTCACACCATACCTAATACTAAAGACAGCTGTATGATCCTCATTTTTTTTGCTTTTGTTTCCTCTTTTTCTGCAAAATTTACTTTCAAACACAAGTTTCTACAACGACGTCTTTATTACAACTGATTCCATTTAAGACTTATTCTCTTGGTTTTCTTTCTTGAGCCAAGAACAAAATGAAAGTTTTTCACCCAAATGGTTTTGGTTGGGATCGTGCCATTGAGGTACGACTACTTGCTGGACAGGTTGTGTGTTCGTTCGTGTATACAGCGACTTTCTTGTGGCAGCAGCAGCTGCGGCACCAACAAAAAGTGGTTGGCTTCGATTTAAAGTTTCTTTCTGTTAGTTCTTATTGATTTCTTTCTCCACCTTTAGTGACACCTTTGCCTCCTTCCCCCTTTCTTTCTACATCCCAGAACATGATGGGATTCTCCCATTTATTATTTTGTATGGCTTTCTTTAAAAGTTGTTTTTTTTGTGTTTTTCTTCAGTACTGCCCATTGTCGGTTGATTGGAACAAGTTTTGATTTTATTCGCCTCTTCAAGTGATGGGTTCAAATCCCAATGTAGGTAATGAATGTTGAGGTGCTAATCAAACAAATAATGAGGTATTAATTTTTCTGTGGTTGTTGTGGAAAGTACCAACACACGTACATTCGTCAAAAGAAGAAAGTGATGAGTAATTACTGTGGTTTTGTACAAAATTTTCCGATCGTTTTGATTGAATGGAGACTTTTTCTTTTGGGGGGTTAACTCTTTGAATTAAATGCGACTGGGGGTCGAAGGGTTTTACTGTTGACATAAAAATTCATGAAAAAATTATTTTGTAATGGGAAAATTCAAAAGTATAATTCGTTAAATAAATGTAAACATAACTTCACAGACTTTCTTGTAAATGTAGGACTATAAAAATTGTTAGTCAACATCACATATTACACTTTTTCAGAAAATACAAGAATCTTCAATTTTTAAAGCCGAGTAAAATACATGGACTGTTCCAGAAAGGTACGAATGTAAAAATGTTTAATACGATAACCGATTGGCCCTTATGATATCGAAACAATTACAAAACTCGTAGATTCTTGCAGGTTCTGGAATTTTCGTATTGTTTGATAATTTTAAAGTCCAGTTAAAGAGAATGAGAGTGACCTCCGAAAAACTTTCCAAAATTTGAGTAAAGTCAAGTCAAAGTCGAGTGGGAGCGCTTTTGTGAGTAGACAAACAAAACGGGCCATATAAAGACGAGCATGCTTTGCTCGATTTAGAGTGGGATCAAAATCCATTCGAAAACTCTTGCCCAAAACTATTTTAGTTTCTGTCATATGTATTGCTATGTCTGTGTATTTTCTCAAAGCACAGTAACAAACGCAACAAAATCAACAACGTTGAAAGTGATAATCTGTACCAACAAAGCATATGATAGTGCTGTTGCATTCTATGGCTCTGAACTTTTGCTCAGACATTTATATTACCCCTGGTATGTTTGGTATTAAAAATAGTACGTATTGGTCCACGTCTCGGTAAGTCCCCCATACAGCGTTACTTCCTGATTTTTGGTATTTTGAATCTTTTGACCACAATTTTAAACCAAATCAATTGACATTTAGAGTTCCAAATAGGTATAATCTCTTCACGCCTAAACTTTTCAAAATTGCACCAGTATTTGGTGTAGAGTCCATTTTTCTTTACCTCTTATTTTTCGGTATTTTGAAGGTTTCGGCCACAATTTTAAACCCAATTATGAGTGACTTGACATTTTGAGTTCTGAGCTGACAAAATCTCTCCCTGCTTAATTTTGTGAAAATAAATTCACTATTATGTATTGACCATATAAAACGGCATTTCCAAATTCTGGGTATTTTGAGAATGGTTCTCTGCAAAATTATGTGAAGGTAAGTCCACTATTATATATAGGCCCTGTATAATTGAGGGTATCAGACAGAGTTTTTTACAAACTTATTTTTTTGTTATTTTGTTTCTCAGCAGATAACTACAATTTCAAAAATTGCCACTATAAAGTAGGTATCTGCAGGTCCAACTGGGGTTAGATCCCCAACATCAGAGATAAATTCAATGGAAGCATTTCGTTGCTCCCATTCAATGTAACAATTCAAAGAATGTAACTTACTGTACAGAAAGAGAAATAATAATCCGATTTTGCTCCAACTTTGCAAATCCTAATATTTGTATCACTGCTAGGTTAGGTACGAAAATGGACAATATCGGACCACTCCATCAATACCTCCCCCACAAAGGGTCAAAGTATTGAATATCCAAAACGATTATAAAATCCGTAATAAGCATCCGGTTCTCTACATATTTCATAACCCTATTATTTCTACTAACACAAGATCTGCTGCGAAGATAGAATACGTCGGTTCACTCCTTCTGGTACCTCCCCACAAAGGGTCAGCGTTTTGAATATCTATGAAGCTCATAAGACGCGATATTAAAATTCGATACCATTCAGACATGGCACAGCTAAATATTTATATCAACATAAGATCTGTTTAAAAGATGATAGAGATCGGACCTTTGCTTCTGGTACCTCTCCCCACAAAGAGTCAATGTTTCGAATAACAAAAACGATTATGAAATCCGAAATAAGAATCCGGTTCTCTTCATATTTCACACATCCCATTATTTCTACTAACAAAAGATCTGCTGTGAAGACTTGGCAAATTTCAATATTTTTATCAACACCAGATCTGTTATAAGGATGGTAGAGATCGGACCATTTCTTCTGGTACCTCCCACACAAAGGGTCAAAATTTTGAATAACCAAAACGATCATAAAATCTGTTGTGAAGATGATAGATATCTGCGAACTCGTTATGGTACCCCAATCACAAAGGGTTACAATTTCCAATATTTATATTTGTCATAAATGCGAAAGAAGTCGGCAATTCTATGCAACTAGCTATATCTAAATATTTCCCTTAGTTATAAATCTGATATGAATATGTAATTAATCGGAATTCATGATTTCGCATAAAATTAGATAAAAATGTTCGATTTCCTTTAAACTTTTCACATACCAATATTTTATCTGTATTAGAAAAAGTGGTATATTTTGGTCCGCCATATGTGCCATTTTCCAAAAATTTGCCACATCTCATATAAAGTATAGAAAGTAGACGATATAGTCTGAATATGGCATAATGTTATATTTTTATCAGACTTAGGTCAGATACGAATTGGACAATATTGGCCGACTGCATGGGAACCTCCCACGTAAAGGGTCAACAGTTGGAATAATCATAACTCAAGGATGGGGGTATATATCTGTCGGCAAAACAGACTGATACTATTTAACTTGTTTTTTGAAAATCGAGTGTAACTACGGCTGTGTAGCACACAGCACCGTCCTGTTGAAACCAAATGTTGCCAATGTCCTTCTCTACAAACTTTTGAAGAAAAATTCGTTCAACATGACCAAATGACGCAACGGCCACTCCTTGCTCATAATTGAGCCTCTGGACCAAAATCCGCACCAAACAGTGACTCGTTTTGGGTGCACCGGTTTTCAAAGTATGCGTGCAGGTTTTCAGTGCCCTAAATCCAACAATTTTGCTTGTTTATATACTGATGATGCTTCTCTTCTTCCAAAATCCGACATTGCTATGAAACATTACCATGATTTCAAAGTAATATCGCAATATTTCCCAGCGTTGTTAAAGCGTATAAAGAACCCTACTCGTTCCGTGGAAGGATAAAACTAATTATTTTTTAAATGCGACATGAGCTAAGTGTTATCATTCACGGAATGAGCACTAGTTGACTGTGGATCACTTACTAAAAGGAAAAAATAATAAAACTCGTTCTCTTGTTCAAATTTCTTTATTCATAAAATTCGCCGTCTTCCAAATCATATTCAAAATCTTCCAACGGGTAAAGACTGGAACGAGCAGCCGGTGCAGCAGCAGTACCTGGCAAACCACGAGGGCCAGGTGGTCCCGGTGGACCCCGGGGGCCCATAGCTCCCACAGCACCCGTGAAACCACGAGGACCACGTCTGCCTGTCTCACCAATGGGTCCGGTGGGGCCAGGTCGGCCATCATGACCACGTTCGCCAGGACGGCCAACGGGTCCTATGTCACCTGGATCACCAGTTGGGCCTTTTTCACCTGGATCACCATCTGGACCAGGTAGACCATTGGCACCGGGTGGTCCTGGTGGACCCGGTGGACAATTGCAGCCACCAGCGCCAGCATACAGTTGAGCTCCGGCACCCACTTGTAAACCAAATCCTTGTTGCCAAGAAGGTTTCATCAAACCAAAGAGAGCTGAAATAAAGAAATTCAAAGTAAGTTTGAAAATAGGGAAGATAAACAATGCTCTGAACAGACCTAAGCAAATCAATGTTAACGCTTTCATTTTTTCAACAACTCTAAATGAAAGACACAAAGGGAGGTGCTATTTAAAGCGTTCTAGAAAAGCAATATTCTATGAAGACTCATTGATTGAGAAAAATCTCACAGAGTTTTCCATGGCCATTAAAATTTGTTCTCATTGCTTTGAACTCATTAAAACCAGGGCTCATTAAAACCAGGTCATAAATCATTGGTGGGTGTTTAATGGAGAACAATTTTACGATCATTGCTCTGGACCTTCAAAAAAAGGAGTTGGTGACAATCACAGTCGGTGATTTATTACTCCTCAACTTTTTGAACAATCAATGTTTAATGTGATTTATAGCTATCCAACTTCTAGAACATTTCCCAACCTCTTCTGGAATGTGTTCACCTTTCTTCTACTCTATAAAAGCAAATGTTCTCGGGAAAACTCCATCAGTTTCGATTCAAAAAATGTTGCTTAAACTGGTGTTATTTTCTGGTATATTTTTTTAGTTTTTCAAACTGAGCTGTTAAATTTTTTTACTTTCCTCCTAAATTCTTTTCACAGTCCTCATCACCGCCTTAAACGCTGAGGAGGAACGCCAAGCACGCAGTGTTCTAAATCGCAATCGAAATAATCTCCATTATCATCAATCTGTTCCACAATGTATATGTACGCCAGGTCCGCGTGGAAGTCCTGGTGAGCCTGGCCGCACTGGTATAAAGGGTCCACGTGGAGATCCTGGCCTAAAGGGACCTAAAGGACCCCCAGGTCCAGTAGGTACACCAGGCATACAAGGTTCACCTGGTCGTGATGGCGCACCCGGTGCTCCAGGTTTACCTGGTCCTCGTGGACGACGTGGTTTTCCAGGTGGTAGAGGAATACCCGGACCCATGGGTCCACCTGGTCAACCAGGTCCACCTGGCCCTCAGGGTGATCCTGGTGTGGCGTCACCTGCGACAACAAGTACCACCACCACAACAACTACAACCACAGAAGCAGCGACGGGACCATAGCAAAAACGAATAGTCACAAATAGTAAACCATTAACTCAAACGATAACAACAACAACAAACATCAAACCATTGGCAATAGCAGCGCCACTAAATTTAGTTTCATTACTGCCAATATTACCGCCAGATCCACCCGCTACTGTCTTACAATCCACATCCAATTCGGAGTTAGTGACTTCGCAAATGAGCCCTCAAACTATCGTCGAGCTCCCAACATCCATAATCTCTGTGGAAATGAATAACGTTCCATCTATTTTACATCCACTACCCAGTTCCCAAGGCATTGCTGTCTACCCACCGCCCGATATGACCCTGCACATCGATGATGAAGATCACATTACTTTGGATTATTTTGAAATTATGGGATATAATAATTAGTTAAGAGACTTTTTGAGTTAGCGATCTACTACTTGTGACTATGTAGAATATTTACTTTGATCAGAGGACATTTTTTTTAAAATAAAACAATAATTTTAAAATATATAACATAATTTTGTTTCATTTATAGTATAAATTACCAACGTGCTCCTCGTTGGCGGAACTTAACAAATATTTAAATTTTTATACCATACAACGCCATGTGTTGGGGGTATTATAAGTTAAATTGGGCCAACAATTATGTAACACCTCGAAATATTGGTCCGCAACATAGGGAACTATATATGGATCTTCCTATCTCGTCGTGCTGAGTCGATCTGGCTATGTATGTCCGTCCGTCCGTCCTCCCATGTTCATTTGTAATCACGCTACAGGTTAAAATTTTGGTCCGATCCTCACAAAATTGAAAATGAAGGTGGGGCTAGGCTCGAGATGATCGCAAAATATTTAGGGGTTGAAATGGACCAAAAACAGAAAAAAATTGAATTATAAATCAATAGAGTTAGAGTTTATGACAGAAGAAATTTCGTGCGACAATTTCCACATCACCGCGAATATTTTTTATTCCGGCCAAATTACAAATACACTTAAAGGTCACATGTGACCATTACAGTTATGCTGATAGCCAAGATATAGGATACCACATAGTGGAAAGGATATTACGTCTTTGTAAATTTATTTGTAACATGGAGATGTAAGCGAGATAGACCCATAGGTAATTTTGAAGATCTTCATAGAATCACTTTCTGAGTCGATTTATGCTCACGTATTTTTGTGAACAAAAAGCAGGTCGCATTTATTATCCGATTGAGATGAAATTTTCCAAACAATATTTGTTTGGCCCATAGACAAACTTTATTGAAATTGGTGGTAATCCGATCAGATTTAGACATAGCTCCCATACATATCTTCAACCGATTTCGGGTTAATTGTGCACCAAATGGCAAATATCAGTCCAAAAGTCCTAAGTCTTGGTACATCCCACCGAATTCAGTCCAGAAGCAAGTATATCGAATTCGGAGAAAATCTGTTCAGATGTAGTTATAGCTCCCATATATATGTTTCATCCGATTTGGTGTTTATGTGCCTCACATTCGTAATATGAATTTGACAACAATGATATTTGGTACCAGATATCTTATAGAGCTCGGAAATACCTTTGCCAGAAATACCGAGAACAGATAAAATTTGGTTATAGTTTCCATGTACAGGCTGAGATCAAAAAACTGCAAAAAAATTCAGACTGCTGTCATTTCTAAGCCACTCATCCGACAGCTGTTAAAATTATTCCAGTGACATCTCCTTATATTGTTTACAAGCGTATAAAAGCACTTTGGAGAGAATTTTCCAAAAAAAAAAATTATTCGTGATGGAATTCAAGCGTGATAGTGTGATTTCTTTATATTTGGCTGGAAAACCACAAGTGACTATCGTTAGAGTACTCCAGCATTTAAATGTGAATAAATCTTTTATGTCTCGTACCATCGCTCGTGACCGTGATGCTGGTAGCGTAGCATGGCGTCAAGGAAGTGGACGGAAGAAAAAAAAACAACATCAGCAGAAATGGTTCGAAAAGTGAAGAAGCGGTTTGATCGATATCCGCGTCGCAGTGACCGAAAAATGACTCATGAGCTGAACATATCGCAATATTCCATTCGATAAATATTGAAAAATTAGCTCGGGGTAAAGCCATTGAAAAAAGTGCAAGAACTTACACCACAACAGAAAGAACATAGACTCAAAAGAGCTAAAGAGTTGCTTCGCTTGGGCGAAAGTGGTGAACTGCCGAATTTGGTTTTCTCCGATGAGAAAACATTCGTTGTCCAGCAGTTTGTAAACAAAAAAAAATATCGTGTTTACTTGTCAAAGAGGTCAGCTAAAAATGTGCACCTTTGGTTGCCCACAAGAACTCAAGTACCGGTCATGGTGATGGTGTGGGCCGCCATAACATCCGATGATCACTCTCCGCTCGCAATAATCGACCGTGGCATCAGAATAAATGCGAATATTATCGCGAAAATATTCTGAAGGGTGTATTAAAGTCTTGGGCACGCAAACATTTTGGCCGCAGACCTTAGACATTCCAACAGGACTCAGCACCATCGCACTCAGCACGCGCCAAGCAAGAATTGTTACAAAATGAGGTTCCTCGCTTAATTTCCAACGCACAATGGCCACCAAAATCTCCGGATACTAATCTGTTGGACTATTTCATTTCATTGGACGTTTGAAGGCCATAATTAGTGCCAAAGGTGACCAATTCGAACAAATTTAAACTTATTCTAAAATTTGATGCTATTTTCGACATTTTTTGCTTTCAATCAATAAAATTAAAAAAAAAAATGTTAAAAATATGGCGATTGACTATGTTGCAATTTTTTTATCTCACCTTGTATATCTGAGTCATATCCAATTCTGATTCTTTAAAAAAATATATATATCGGAGCCGAGTTCCACATAATGGAAACGTACGTCCCGAAATTCATTCCATTTGGACTGACATTAGCCATTATTTGTACAATAAACCTGAAATCGGATTAAGGATATATATGGGAGCTATCTTAGCCGATCTCGATAAAATTTGGCAAATGTATTTCCGAGCTCTATAAAATATCTGGTACCAAATATCATTGTAGCAGTTCCTCACAAAAGTGAGGTACTTAAACAACAAATTGGATGAAACATATATATCAGAGCTATTGCTATATCCGAATCAAATTTTATAAGCTTCTAGACTTAATTCGGTCGGATATGCAAAAATTCAGGTAATTTGGACTGATATTGGCCATTTGCTGCACAATTAACCCGAAATCGGTTGAAGATATGTATGGGAGTTATATCCAAAACTGAACCGATTGAACAAATATTGTTTCGAAAATTTCATCTCAAACGATTAATAAATTTCGTTCACAAAAATACATGGACATAAAACGTTGATCTGTATATAAATTGTTCTGCAACGGGAGTAAAATTTTTACAAAATCCAAATTTCGAATTTTAAGTAATTTCCTTAAAAGTGTAGCTAAAATGGTCAAAAAATCGTATATCAGGAAATACCGTTATATATGGTCTATAGAAAAACGTGGACCTATATAGATAATATTCTGCCGCAGTTGTAAACATTAAAACATAAACATTAAATACCAAATGTGGCTGAAAAAAAAGTGGATAAAATACATAAAATATAAATACCGAATTTTTAACTATTACCTTAGAAAGTGGGGCTAAAATCGTCAAAAACCGATAACAGGGAGGTACAATTATATGGGGGCTATATGAAAACGGGAAATTCCGAACAATTGACCGACAATATTTCTAGAAGTAATCCAAAGCTCTCTGTACAATTTGAAAGCTATATCTTAATATTGCGAAGCATGGAGCAAACTTGGGGACTCTTATGTTCATGGTCAAGTCCACAAGTCCTTGTGTATGGCCAAGGTATCTAAGCAAGTGTGGCCTAATAATTCAAAACCTTTTTTGGGAATTCAATCTTCTAGGAGTTTCCCAATAACCAGAGAACGACCCTAAAATTATTCAACAGTATAATTGCCCTCATACAAATTGTAACATTAGTGTGGGACATTCTTCAATTTTACACGTTCCAATATTAAAGGTACAGGGAAGATAAAATATATGGTTCAAACGTTAAAATTAAAAAAAATACAAGTAAAAAAGTCATAAGTTCGGCCGGGCCGAACTTTGAATACCCTCCACCATTTGGAACGAATTTGGCAATTTTTAAAAAAATAAAATCTGTTAAAAATTCTGTTAAAATCTTAAAAATACCGAATGTAGCCGTTATATAAGGGTCTATACGACGACGTGGGCCTGCATCATCAAAATACCGAATATGGGGAGCTAATATTATATGGGGCTATACCTAAACATGCACCTGCACAGACAATTTACTGTCATAAGCTGTAGCATCTATTACGAACATCAAATACCAAATTTGAAACAATTCCGGTGAATAATGTCGCTAAAATCGTCAAAATACCGAATATGGGGAGGTACCATTATATGGGAGCTATACGAAGACGTGGACCTGCACAGACAATTTTCTGTCTTAGGCTTTAGTATCCATTATGAACTTTAAATACCAAATTTGAAACAATTCCGGTGAATAATGTCGCCAAAATCACAAAATACCGAATATCGGTATATGGAGGCTATATGAAGACGTGAACCTACATGGCCCATTTTCAATACCAAAAGTCCTGCAGACATAATATACATTTGAGTAAAATTTTATCAACCTACTTCATTTCGTTCGGTGATTTCCACAGACAGACAGACGGATAGACGAACAGACGAACGGACATCGCTAAATCAACATTGAATTTTATGCTGATCGAGAATATATATACTTTGTGGGGTCTAAAATGTATATTTCGAGGTGTTAAAAACGGAATGACAAACTTAATATACCTTCCATATTATGGTGGAGGGTATAACAAAGGGTAAGGTGGAAAATATCGGTCCGAATCTATCACGAATGGACACAATTTGAATAGTCACAACTCGCGTAACATGTGTAGTTGGTGACCGAATTAGAAAAATTCTAAATCCAAATGATTACAAATGGGGAAACAAAAAATTGATTCGGAGTGTACATTTTTTGTTCCCATATTCTTAAAATAATAAATCGGGGAAAGCGGCCAGCTTTCTTTGTGAATTTCCAAAGGTTCATTAAAGGAAATTTATCATAAAAGAGCAATTTAGAAAAAGAGAACTTATGGTTTGTTTCGACTTATATCGTTCCTTCTAGAAGGTATGGCTATAAATCTAAATCTGACATTCCTCTAATCAATGTCAAGAACATCCCACAGCAGAGTCACCTGATGCGTTGATGAGTGAATGATTGTTGACATTTTTACAGATTTTAAGAGTGCATAGATAAATCTGTTATAAATGTCACCATAAAATTCTAAACCCGTAAATTAGTAACGGCCACATTCGATCAAACCCATAAATGCACCCTTCTACCAATCAAACATAAAAATGCACTTCTTTTCCAAGAGTGATAGAATCCTATAAAATGCAGTCGCCCTTACCAGCTGAGATTAGTTCACTTACGACAATGAGACATCTTACATTGCTGCTAATAGGTATTTTTTTTAATTTTCAAAAAAAAAAAACCTTTGTTATTTTTCTTTAAATAAATTGTTTTTCTTCAAGGCTTTCTGGGATGCTGCTTTGCGTCTGAGGAGCTGCAACGTAAGCCACGCAATGCACCCCAGATATACTACACTCAACAAGGACCTCCAGGACCGCCGGGACCACCAGGTCTTCCTGGGCCAATGGGCAACAAAGGTCCCAGGGGACCCACGGGTGACATTGGACCTCAAGGTACGCAGGGACCTCAAGGATCACCCGGGCCGGATGGACGAGATGGACCGAATGGTATGCAAGGACCACATGGCTTGAGAGGGCGACGTGGTTTCCCAGGGGCTCGAGGACCACCAGGGCAACCCGGTCCACCAGGTTTAATGGGTCCACCTGGACCACCCGGCCCAGCAGGTGCATCGGCACGTAGCATGTTGTCTTACATCGAGGCTGAAGATGAATATGATGATGAATTTTGAAAAAAAGGATTTTAAGGAACTTTGAATGAATTAATAAATTAAAATTAGAAAAATGAATGAAATCGAGTTTTTTTTGTCAAAATTTTTCATTTTCGAGTGATTTAGAAAAAGTGAAAAAAGGTGTAAATAGGGTTCCTAATCCATCCAGAACTTATTGCAGTCAAATATAAATCCTTGTAGCTGGAAAAATGTGCAATCAACTCAAATTCCCTTTTTTAAAGATTAGCAATAAAAGTCCGAATATTTAATTTTTTTCTTCCAAATCATTTATTCCTCATTGTTGTAACTGTTCTGTGGTATGGTTATTAGAGGTTTTCCATTGGTGTACCATAGACCGGTGGTTTGTCCCAAGGTGGCATATGAATTACCATTTTGTGCGGGAGGTCCTTGGGGTCCAGGTGGGCCCGGGGGACCCTGATGTCCTTGTCTACCCATGGGACCTGGTCTGCCCATAGGGCCGGGAGGTCCTGCCGGGCCTGGAGGACCCGGAGGTCCGGGCGGTCCGGGTTGTCCAGCAATTACAATAGGTAATATGGCTGTTTGTGGCATCATCTGTTGTCCCTCCTCCTTTTCCATGTGTGAAGATGGCACCTTACCAAATCCCGCATTACCATTTAGGTTCAGACCAAACTGCAGATTGGAATTTGGCAAAGAAAGGCGTTGAGGATTATAATAGTTATTGGACATTTTCTTATCCTGGTGATAACCGCCACGATTCTCCAGGCCATAAATCATTTGGGGTATAACAATTTTGACATTATTATCCGTTGCCATGGGTATGACGCTGGGATATAAGTAATCGGGCATCTTGCGGTTATCGTTTTCCTTTTCCTCGGGTTCTTCTTCGAAATCGTCTTCGGTGATTTGTGGTTCCTTGGGTTTGTCCTTTTTCTGATACATGTCATTCTGGGAGTAGACAATGTATTGGCCACTATTTTCACCGGGCTCTCCAATGGAGCGAGCCATGGCAAAATTAGCCAAGGATTTTTTGGAAGCAGCAACGTAATCTGGTCCTAAAATGGCTACCAGGGATACTAGAAATACTAACAAAAGAGAAAACAAGTCAGTTTTTCATTATCTTTGTTTTTGGAGAAATTTCCTATCTTACCTCCTATTTTCATGCTTTGCCTCATTTTGTCCAACTATGCTCGGGTAGGAGTTGATGCCAGGGTTTTATAAGATTCAGTTTAACTATTGGTTTTGTGGTTTATGTTTATTGAAATTTAAGAATTCCGCAAATTGATTCAGCCGATTTTATCTTTATAGCTCGGGATCTACGGAAGATAAAAAGGTTTTCATCAATTCATCTGTTTTGGTTTTTCTTGGAATAGCCGCACTTTTTCGATTTTATTTCCAATTTCTAGTCATTTGTCAAATGGCTTATCTGCTCCAAATCGCACTGCATAAATTAGTGTGTTATGGCTGTCAAAGAAATGAGAAATGCCCCAACCAAAATGTGGGAGAAATTTTTCGTTTGATGTTCAGGTTGATGACTTTTTGCAAGATTTGAAATCATCTCAAATCAATTAACAGCTAATTGAATATTGGTTTCTTTTCAATAAAAAAGTAAATAATTTTTAAGAGAAATTTTCGAATGCAATTTTATAACCGCAATAAATTTTTGTTTCAGCAATTTAAATATGAAATATATCGTTGGCTATTGTATGTCCTCAGCCATATGGCTACTGAGGGTATATATCATTTGATACGTCCAAAACGTGCCTCATCGAAATTTACGATTTAGGACCCAAGGTCTCTTTAGATCAAATGGTGTCCGTCTGTATGTCTGTCCCTTCGATAACTCTCGAAGAGAGTATGCGGTTTGATCCAAATTTGGTACATCGTAATATTTTTGTTAAGCTTAGATCGGGTTCGAACTTGACTAAACTTGAGATCGAATGTGAATATCCACCATTTTCTTTTGATAATTACAAGGGGTTCGAAAGTTTCACCATATTAAAAAAAAAAAAATATTCGATATTTCTTTTAAGTTCGCTTAATGCAATATCTTCATCGACATTAGTTCTAGTATGAATATGGAACTCATAAACCAATTTTTCAGGTACATCCTCAATAAAGGGTAAAATAATAATATATGTATAAGCTATAGATGTAATGGAAAAATGGAAATGAAATACTTTATGTATCTTTTACTTTGTTTTACTTCCTGTTATTGTCCCATGCTTTTGAGGATCTTCATATGATCACTCTCTGAGTCGATTTATGCATTTCAGTCCGTCTGTACATGTATTCTTGTGAACAAAATGCAGGTCCCATTTATTATCCGATTGAGATGAAATTTTCCGAACAACATTTGTTTGGCCCAAGGACGAACTCTATTGAAATTGGAGATAATCGGTAAAAATTTAGATATAGCTCCCATATATAACTTGGTCCGATTTACATTTTATTATGCACTAAACGTCTAATATTTGCCAAATGGGATGGAATTTGGCACATATGACCGAACTGAGTCTAGAAGATAGTATGCCGAATTTGGTGAAGATCGGTTCAGATATAGCTATAGCTCCCATATATATTGTTCATCCGATTTGTTGTATTTGTTACCCACTGCCGTAATATGCACTCCGTAACAACGATATTCAGGGAAATATATCAAATACAGCTTAGAATTATCTTTGCCAAATTTTATCGAGATCGGTTCAGATTTGGATATAGCTCCCATATATCTTTATCTGATTTAAAATTAATTTTGCACCAAATGGGCAATACAAGTCCGAATTTAAAAAATACAAATCCTTTGGCATATTTAGTCCTTTGAACTTTAAATTATAATTATAATCATAGCGCGTATGATTGAATTCTCCCATAAAAACTTTTAATTGTTATGTGGAGCTCAACTAAATTAGCAAAGTGGTGTAGGGTATCATAAAATCAGCCCCGCCCGACTTTACGACTTTCTTTACTGGTTTTTAAATTACAGGAATCCAACTCAATCGGTTCACCTAAAACATAAATTGTACCACATTTAGTAGGCATGACAACTTTCCAAAACTACTTATAAACCATAGTCGTCAAATGCAATAATAATCTTAATTCCTAATTTCAACATTCCAGCTCTATCGGTTCACCCAAATCCAAAATTGTACCAAATTTAGAACAATTTACAAATTACGAAAACTTCCTCCATATAGCAATTCTACTCTTCGGAAGTAATGTTAATTTCAAATTACAGTATTCCACCTCCATTGAACATATTGACCCTACTCTTCAACCTTGAATACCATTTCAAATTTCAAGTTTTTAGGTCTAACCATTCATCTGATACTTAATGGTACCAAATATAGTACATTTTAATACTTTTTGTACTCTAATAGTGGGAATTTCCAAAAACTCTCTTTCTCTTTTCAAATTTAAGAGTTCTATCTCTATTGGATTACATAACAGCTGTAAGTTTGGCCGAGCCGATCTTTGAATACCCTCTACTATTTGGAAAGATTTTGGCAATTTTCAAAAAAATAAAATTCGCTAATTTTTTTTTTAAATCTTAAAAATACCGAATGTAGCCGTTATATTAGGGTCTATACGATGACGTGGACCGACATGGACAACTTTTGTCATACACCATTACGATATTCAAATGCGAAACTTGAGTAAAAAATCGGTAAATAATGTAGCTAAAATCATCAAAATACCGATTATAGGGAGGTACCTTTGTATTGGGGCTATACGAAGGCGTGGACCTGCACAAACAATTTTCTGTCTTAGGATTAAGTATTCATTGCGAACTACAAATACCAAATTTGACAAAATTCCGGTGAATAATGTCGCTAAAATCATCAAAATACTGAATATCGGGGATTACCATTATATGGGTGCTATATGGAGACGTAGACCTGCACAGACAATTTTCTGTCATAGGCTGGTGAATAATGACGTTTAAATCACTAAAATACCGAAAAAGGGAGGTACATGGGGGCTATACCAAAACGTGGACCTATATGGCCCATTTTCAGAAGGACGGACGTCGATAAATCGACACAGAATTTTGATCAAGAATATATATACTTTGTGGGGTCCAAAATGTATATTTCGAGGTGTTACAAACCGAATAACAAACTTAATATACCCTCCATACTATGGTGGAGTGTATTAAAGGATACACATACGAAGGGTGCATTATTTAGTACTTTCCGTACCGTTCTAATACGAATTTTCATAAACCCAGTCTTATCTGATACCTTCGGACCAAATGTGATCCACACCCACAATTTCAAGAATATAGCTTGAGCCGTTTCATCTGAGAGTTGATGAATTATTCCCATTTATTTGAGTTCATAAAAAGTTTAGTTTATAAAAATTTTAAATACTGATCCTTCGTACATACTTCGCTATCGTATTCATTATCTCTTCCAATGCTACCTTGTTTAAATTATTTATTTTTTTACGAAATATCAAATGATGAAATGCAAAAAACATAACTGTAACATTTGTAAAAAAGTAAACAGCGTATTCGAAAATATTCAAAAAAAAAACCTACAACTAAAACGCAGGGCAGAAGAAAATCCATCCAACCCAGCAACCTCATTATCACATTATGTTGGACTGCTTTTAAAAATCGAAAATCGTAAATAAACATCAGCTATCTTCCAACAATCTGGCGCTGTTGTTGTCTGGCCATTGAAAATTTCTTCTTTGAGGCTAAAACCGGTTCTTTCACCACTCAAATTGCCAATGTAGGGCTGGACGACGACGACGATGATGCTGTTATTGTTGCTGCAGATGAAAACAAACCAAACAAATGGTCATCAACGTCATAATGACGGCTTTTACCTTTTTTTCTGGTTGTTGCCGTTGTTGCAATCGAAACTGTCAGCTTCTTCTTAACAAAGTCATTATTATGGCCATAACAAAGAAGAGAGACTGATTTAATGTGAACGGTTTGTTAAGACATCTGTGCAGAGAGATAGGGGGGACAGGAATTGGGGTGTCTCATTTATTGTTTGGAGGCATTGTTGACCAGGGTGATTAACCATTTCTACATATGAAGCATAGATTGTGTTTTGTGGGTTAGACAAATAAATACTACAATCAGAATATTATATAACCTGAGGCTATTTTCGGTCGTGTAGCTGTAGATGTGGTTGTTGTTTTTTTTGGAGTCCCAGAAAATAGGTGTACACCTTAATGAGTTGGCTCTAACAATGGGGCATTGTTGGTATTCCATTCAATAGAAATTAGATCAGATTTGATGTTGTATTCAAAATTCGATTTAAGTGCCAGTGGTCATTTGATGCCCTGCACGCAATAAAAAGAAATGACTCGTAACGATGATATGGCAGATGGAATGATATTGAAAAAAAAAAATTGAACATATGGAGTTTTATTTTGTTGTACGGCAATAGAGATTGAGGAATTGATCATTTGTTATAATCCCAATAATTTGAAAAATTTAGAAGATTTTTGGTAAATTATAGCTAATTTATTTTTTTAGAGGATGGCCAAAATTAAATGAGAAAAAGTCTGAGATTTTAGCATGTCCATATAAATTTTTTAATGACGCAAAAGGGGATGGTAGTTAAAACCTTTTGAAAACATAGTATCAATTTTACCATAGTTAAGAAATGTCTCTAAAAACAAGTAAAAAAGCAGTAAGTTAGGCCGGGCCGAACTTTGAATACCCTCCACCATTTGGAACGAATTACGAAATTTTCAAAAAAATAACATCCGTTAAAAATTAAATTCTGTTAAAATTTTAAAAATACCGAATATAGCCCCTATATTGGGGTCTATACGAAGACCTGCACCTGCATAGGCAACTTTTGTCATAAGCCATTACAATACTCAAATACGAAACTTGAAAAAAATACCGGTGAATAATGTAGCTAAAATCATTAAAATACCAAAAATAGAGTGGTATCGTTACATGGGAGCTATACGAAGACCTGGACCTGCATAGACAATATTCTGTCACAGGCTGTAGTACCTATTAGGAACTTCAAAAAATTTAAAGAATTATTTCAAGGGAGGTACTAATAAATGGGGCCTATACGATATCCTGGACCTGCACAGACAATTGTCTGTCTTAGGCTGTAGTATCCATTGCGAATTTTGAACAACTTCGGTGAATAAT